GAATCTAGCCTGTTCGCTCGTTGGTTTCAGCCAGCCCAAACCAGCCAGCCAACAATATTTTTCTCTCACAAAAAATCAGCACCAGCCAGCCCAAACCAGCACCAGCACCAACCAGCGAGCAGGCCTATGTGAGCTATCTATCCCCAAGAGTTGCATAACCTGTAGCAATATCGAGATTTGTCACTCTTTGACAAACCTCGTCCGCGACTTAATTCGGCCCATGACCAGCCCATGCAGCATCTTTGTTATATTTACCAGCCTAAACTTCACACCCTTCTACTTCCTCGTCATTGAATCCTGACACGACAAAGCATATTGGCATGCATATCCTTCAACCTCCATTGTGAATGCTCGGTTAGTACTGATGTGGTCGGATAATATTTTGATGTGAATGCTCGGTCAATACTGAGGTGGTCGGATAATATTTTGTTTATGTAGCAATGCACGGGCATGATCTACAGTATATGTCTATGTAGAATAGTACTAAAGCCACACATATTTATATGGTGAGTATAACATACTTTATTTTAAGTTTTTTGAGAGATTTTTCAAGTCACGCAGTATTATCCATGTGACAGGCGGCACTAATATTTATATATATACTATAACATGTATAGGATGGTATGGAGATACGGCGAAACTTATCCGTTGATTTATTGGTGCACGAAAGAAATGGATATCGAAGATTTCTTTCTACCGATATAAAATATTATCTTAGCTGTTTCATGAAAAGGTCTAGACGCTCAGCCCAGTAACGCACGGGCACGAACCGAGTATATTTGAAATCTGGAAACAGTTAATCACGACGCTAATGTTTGACGAGACTTGGTGGTTGCTAACTAGCTAAGCTTTGATGTGACGTGAAGGAACATAGTATAAAAAATCATGTAAGTTAATGATACATCAGAAATTACTAGTTTTTTGCTCGTGAGCTGCTATGGGGAAAAAAATTCATAGACACAATAAAAAACTAGTGGACATTTTGTCTTAGAACTGTGGATGTACAACAACGGTTTCGAATGGTTTGCTTTCACATCAATTTGACATTTTGAATGATTTGCATTTATTGATTTTTGCTTCATAGGTCTATGCTCGTGTATTATAGCGGAAAATAATCCAAGGTAATAAGATGAGTATAAAAAATATGGGAATTGCTGGTGCAAAAATATGGGAACTGCTAGCACCGGATGTCCGATGGGATATGATTCTATAGGATGGTACCATGGACCGGACCGATTTGTTTCCCCGGCATGCGCCTACACTCCGCACCCCCTGCCCGTGCCTACTTTTCACGTGCCCACCCGGGGGCCTGTGCCCATGGAGACTGTTGCCGCCTCTTCCCACTTGCCACGCGCATCCCATGTACAACACACGATCTATTTTTGAAACATTCAGATGCAACACTTGCAACATACGTACGAAGGCAGATGAAACACTGGAAATATGCGTCTGAAACACTTGCAAAAAAAAAAACTTGAAAACCATTGCTAACATACGCAACATGCAAATAAAACACTTACAACATCGAGATAAACACACTTGCAACATACGTCTGAAAGAACAGATAAAACATTGGGGACAGACGCTTGCAACATACATGTACAACCATTGCAAAAACATATGCAACCTCTCATCTACCTTTGCAACATCCATACGAAACAATTGCAACATACCTCTAAAATAGCTAAAACATTTGAATTGTGCACTTGCAACATGCATCGTATCCCGGTGCGGCCTCCTTCATCGTCTGCATCAGGGCGCTAGTGCGCTGCAGCCATAGCAGGAGAAAAGGCCGGAGGGCATCCACGCTAGGGCCCGGCGCTTCTCCTTTAAATTTTGAGAGATCATTAAGCATCGATATTCAACTTTTGTGACTAAAAGATCTCCATAAACTCATAGATAACATTAATCCCTAAATTGTTTGTCGTTAATACACCAAAACTCTAGGGCCATGTGCACTTTAGCATTTAAATTAAATTTTATATAAATACTTTATCAAGTGTGAAAATTGTGAAGACACATGTAACACCTTAGGTGTTAACCAAAGACATTCCATGTGCATCTCATAAACATTGATATTTCTAAATGATGATGATGTTTAAGAGACTTTATACATAAGCTTTCTTAATAGTGACAACACATGTGGCACAAGTAAACAATGATTAAGAGCTCAAAAATCTCTAATCAAACTTTTCTAAACAACTTTTGGTAAGGATTGGTACAAAAGTTGTTGAAGGAAAATAGTAAAAAAGGATTAAAACTAGGGTTATAAGTTAATTGCTTAGTGACCTTTTTAGAGATCATTAATTAACAATTTTGTTAAAACAGTTAAAAAATATGCCAGCTTGAAAAATGATGTACAAGTCAAACACTTAAAAATGGGATACAGAAGAAAAAAAACCAAAGTTTTGCTTAGGAGCATCTGTTTTTGCAAGCCCAAAGTTTGAAACCCCAACCTTACATCAGTGTCTAAGGAATCAGCAGAGAGGGGCCTCATCTACAATTGTGATGCGCAAAAAGGGGAGGGGCCAAATCAGTTAGGGGTATATATGCATCTTTTCCTATCTAGCTTAATATATCCTAATAAACTCCTAGCAAGAATCCCTGTATTTTTGGAGGGAGGGGATAACAGCCGTAAAAAAAAGCTCTGAAGTGTTGGTTGCACTCAGATTCTCTCCTAGCTATGGGTAGCTTGCTGTCTTGACTAACAGAGCAGATACCTGAAGCATGCCTCCATTGACACCCTCCAAACTAGCATAGTTTAAAACTGAGGGCGGGCCGGGCCTGGAGCCTGGAGGCACAAGTTTTCATGGCAAGTACGTTTCACCAGACACACGAGATTACCAGGGGCAGCAAGCAAGCAAGTGGCACAAGAAGCAAGCTGAGACCAGCTGCCATAACCCGGCTAGGTTCCTTTCTGAGGTCGAGGTGGCCGGCCGGTACGGTAACAATCTCAGAGCACTTGAGGTCAGTTGCATGCAGTAAACTCCAGGCATAGGCTCCCCTAATCATTTGGACAGAGCCCGCACAGGCTTCACCCAGCTCTCACTCAAAGCGCGCGCGAATGGCGGGGAACCCTGAGGTTCCTTTGGCTGATCGATGGAGTGCTGCCTATGCAAGCGAACTGAGCCGGGCGAGCGCGCGCCCCGCGTCCGCACGAGCCCCCGCCCCGCTCGGCCTCATGCATCATCGGGAACCTCGCCGCGGGTTGTCACGGTGACGACGGCGGAGCAGTAGAGCTCACTCAAGGTGCACGGGGCAATGTCCATCCACCATGCGTGGACGACGACGACTTTTCCCACGAGTCGTGGCTCGATTAGTGGCCCGCCCCTCACATGCAGCGCCCCTAACTCATGCTTAGAGTAATCATATGGATGCTACTGGCTCGTTGATCTCTTTAATTTGCATTGCTATTTTCTGTGATATTTCAGTTCACGCTTCGCGGTATAATAATGTGTGAGGTCTAGCTAGCCCAGTCGTCCTTACATGCATATAATTAAATAAATAATTCAGAACGATCTTTGAGGTTAACTCAGAACTATCAGAAGGCTTCGTGATGAACGAACTGGCTCTGCATGATATGTCTGCCCATTTCCAGAGTTGTAGAACGGAGCTATAATACAAATAGAATTTCCAATTTATTAGTGGCTTAGAAGTTAGTTTTTTGATCAATTGATGAAGCAGAATTCATCAGTACTACTGTAGTAGTATAGTTTAGTGGCTGTGGATGGATGTCAACTAATCCTTCAGTTGCAGTTAAGCGCTCAGTCTGTTAAGGTTTAGTGGAAATTGTGCCCTTGCCTGCATGTGTGTGCATGGTGCTCGATCCCTAGGGAGACTGGTTGGTTAGGGTTGTAGTTCCAAGTGTTGGACTGCGTAATCTATTTGGCCTTAGCCATCCTTGCTTCCTCCAGTGTGCAAGTAACCCCAAACAACCACAGCAAAAGAGCCACTACAGTAACAATCTCACTTTCTCCCACTTCACTACTGATGTAATAATCTTCAGCTCTCTGGCCTGATTGTTCGCTTTAGAAAAGCGGTAGAAATTTCCGGGCCAGGAGTAAAACGAAGTTTCTAAATTTCACTTCATTTTATACTTTGTGTTGTGCAAAAATGCTGGTCGCTACTGTGTATCTCCATCTGGCTATATATATATGTGCTTGTATATCTGGTTGGGATGCATGCATGGATGCAATATATGCCACATATGCCACAATCCAAAATCATTTATGATTCGTATTGGATCTTGCCCTATGTGCTTATTTCCTAGCTAGTCCTCAAATCTTGTGCAGGAGCATGTTCATGAAAAAGGATGTACTGTTATCTAGACCTAGCAATCTCAACCTATTACTCCTTGATTTACATACACAATCATATATACTACACACCATCACTTCATATATATATATATATATATATATATATATATATATATATATATATATATATATATATATATAAACATCATCGTGGACTATCCAATTAGTCTTCAATTCTGTCCATTGTGGATTATATGCGATTACGGAAAAATACACATATGAATAATCGTACTATAGTAGTACTACATACATATATTACTAGTGGATAGCAGCTCTTCCAAAGCTAGCTAGCACTTGCTTTGAGAGCAATCAAGCGATCCCTAAACAACGAACCTCGGGATCGTTAACGGCGTAGAAAAATGCAGCTGACCGCTGGACGATCGCGAGCTCCCCCGCGCGCGCGCTCATGGCCTTGCCTTGCGTCCTACGCGACCAACTTTATCCCCGCCCACCGCCGTGGCGGCCGGCGTCAACTCTCTCCACCACCCTCCTCCTCTCCTGCTGGCTGCTGCTGCCTACAGCCTACAGCTAGCTGCCTCCCTGTGCTGACGATGCACCTGCGACCTGCAGCCCATGGATCGGAGGTCGGCCGTACCCGCGCGTGTATATATACGCGCTACAGGCCTCTCCCGCGTCAAAATTGAGGGCTTGACTTGGGAACTGATTGATTGAATCGATCGCATGGCGGCCTTCTCATCCAGCAACGGCGTGCCGCCGGGCTTCCGGTTCCACCCGACCGACGAGGAGCTGCTGCTGTACTACCTCAAGAAGAAGGTCGGATTTGAGAAGTTCGATCTCGAGGTCATCAGGGAGGTCGATCTCAACAAGATCGAGCCGTGGGACCTGCAAGGTATTGTATACTTAACAAAACCAGTACATGCATGGCCCATGCTTGCATGCATGTCCATGGCGACCAATTGCATGCAGCTAGTTGTTTAGTTGTTCGTTTTGTTTCTAAATTCTAACACAGTACTGTAATACTCATCAACTCATCACCGTGCATGGATCGGATGCAGAGAGGTGCCGGATCGGGTCGGCGCCGCAGAACGAGTGGTACTTCTTCAGCCACAAGGACCGCAAGTACCCGACGGGGTCGAGGACGAACAGGGCCACGACGGCCGGCTTCTGGAAGGCCACGGGCCGGGACAAGTGCATCCGCACCAGCTACCGCAAGATCGGCATGCGAAAGACGCTCGTCTTCTACCGCGGCCGCGCCCCTCACGGCCAGAAGACCGACTGGATCATGCACGAGTACCGCCTCGAGGACGCCGACGACGCCCAGGGCGGCACCAGCGTACGTTGATTACCTTCTCGATCTCCGATCCTCTCTCCACTATATATATCCGCATGTTTAATTTGCATGCGAAATCTGATCGCGTCGATGCGTGCATCTCCATTAATTCTTGTGTTAGGGTTTCTGTGTTGATGCATGCATGTTGTCTGTGCAGGAGGACGGATGGGTGGTGTGCCGCGTGTTCAAGAAGAAGTGCTTCTTCAAGATCGGCGGCGGCGAAGGGAGCACCAGCCAGGGCGCGGATGCTAGCGGCCACCTGGCCGTGTCGCCGCCGCTCGGTGGACACCACGACCAGGCAAGGGCCGCCCTGGCGTACATGCACCCGCACCCGTACTACCACCACGCCTCCTCCTACTACTCCCAGATGCAGGCACCGGGGCCGCACGCCGCCGCATACTCGCACCACGTGCAGGTCCAGGACCTCCTCACCAACCACCGGCCCACGGACGACGGCGCCGGCACCGCCTATGACTTCTCCGGCCTGCCGGTCGAGCATCACCCCGGCAGCGGCCTTGACGTCGGCAGCAGCGACGGCGTCGCCACGGACGGTGGCCAGCTGGCCGGCGAAGGGAGGGACCAGACCACCGGTACAGACGCAGAGCAGTGGCAGGCGATGGATGGTTTCAGCAACGGCGGGAGCGCGACGGTGCAGCAGATGACCGGCGCCATGAGTTCCGGCGCCCAACGAGGTGGGGAGATGGATTTGTGGGGTTACGGGAGGTAAAAACTTGATGACCACACCTACGATGGAAAACATGAACGTCAAGTGTGCATGTATATATCATGCATGCAACATGATCTAAGACGATGGTGGAACTTGATGCATCAGTTCTTGGGAGTTTATATAGCTTGATGATTTGTTTGGACTAGTTTTGGTGTTTATGATGTGTGTGTATATGTTGTATTATTTGTTGTTGGTTAATTTGTTGGTACAATAAGAGCCAAGGATACATATGGCGTGTAATTGGTGATTAAATTGTGTGTGGTCGGTCATGTAGAAGAAGCTAATAAGCACAATGATTATTCAACTTTATTTGGGGTTTTTTCTTGACATTCATACACGGGATATAGTGGGGTACATATATGAGCGTGTGTTTTAATTTGATCTTGGAGGAAGCAAGCGGCAACATTTGTTAAGTTTTGGATGTATATGCCACTTCTATTTGTTGTTTGGTGATGAACAATATATGACAGTTCATGTTGTATTGTAATCTTTTTCGGTTGCGGGACTCAGAGCGAGGAAATGTTGAATTGCATTTCACTTCTAAATCGATATGTGTGTGATATTCTCCTTATCTAATGTATTGTTTCAAGGTTAATATCTATAGAAGTATTAGGATATATTAACATGTGAAAAAACATATATTTTTGTAATTGGCATGCATGAACTATGTAAACCTTCTATTTAAGAATATATAATTGTTTGTCTTCGCTTGTCCTATATATATACCATACACTTGACTATATCACAACATATAATGCATCTTAGGAAGCCACATGGCCCACTTCATATCCTTACTATTCCCTCGTAGCTTGTATAAGAACAATAACTAAGGATACCAGATAAAGTGGAGATGATGAAGGGACAGTGGAAAATAATTTGTGTGATAATTGTGGTGTGATGAGGTGAACTTGTAGTTAGTAGAAAACAAAATGAGGACAAAAATGGCAAACATTATTAAGGGGCCGAAGTTCGGAGAGAATGGGCCTTGTTGGTGATGAAATAGGGAGATAGTGGAGCAAGGCTCTTCTTTCCTACTCCCTCCGTCCTGTAATATAGTGCATTCTAGCATTCAAAATTTGTCTTCAAATATAATGCATTCTAGGGGATAAAAACCAATTTTACATTAAGTACTTTCCATTTATCAACCAATCACCATTAATCACGTTGATGATAGCGTCTGATTAGGAAATAAAATGAGGGTACATGCGTCTTTTATGTTCTCTCTTAATTTATCTTAAAATTTCTAGAATGCACTGTATTACGGTACATAGGGAGTATGTTTAGAAAACAAACACAATGAATAATTCTTTGTGTCATTCTACCGGTTTCCTATTTCATCTTGTTTGTTTTATGCCTTCCGTATTTCACTTTCTCATCAAACCGCACATGATGGGTGGGCCCCTCACTTTCCACCACCATTTTGCAATTGTACACATCTGCAACATCTCTCTCCTTTTCCCTTCATGCCACAGTTGTCACCTCTCCCGGCCACCACACTAAGCAATTGCTGGCTCCTTAACATTGTCAACCACGATAATTCACTAACCCTTAATTGATCCATTATTAACCATGGGAAACTGCAATATGAGAATTGGCAACGGGAAAAATGGAAGACCCCGACCCGCCTCCCGACCCACTCCTTCCCTTCCTCATCCTCCCCTTGCCGGAACCTTCCCAGCCTAGATCCGCCCCATCCGCTGACTCCCTCAGCCATTAAACACCAGATCCACTCTCCCCAGCGCCTGATCTTGGCATTGATGAGGCGCAGTCCGTGCCACATTCAAGTTCTGGCGGCCTCGAAGCAGCTACAGCCAACCAGCGGTCACCGGCGTCCTCGCCCAGAGGGGTACCATAGGGACCCAATCTCCTTCTGGCAAGCCCGACTGTGATCGACAACAAGCTTCAGGCATAGGGATGGGCGTTGTTTCCGAATTTGGCAGAAGATTTGAACAAGATCAGGATTCAGCGACCAAGCTCGGAAGCAGATGAATGCATACCCGCCATCACTCCTCTAGCCACCTCTGCCGATGAGAAGCCAGAAAATGCAGCCGCTCAAGTTAAAGAGAAGCGCTCCCTAGAATATGGGGAGATTGAAGGCCACCTCCTACACCCTAGGATTCTGACGAGCCAAAAAGGGAAAGTGGTGCAGGGCAACGAGGGTATTCAAGACGGCCATGCTACAACTAGCGCTACTCAGGCTACATCCTCGATGACCGTGGCAAAGACCGCCCTCAAAGACACCAATGCACCCTTGAGCACGCGCCTACAACAATAGCAAATGAGCATTGTTATGAGCGATGAGGGATGGGAGCCAGCCAAGATCCATCGATGCAAGAAACCAGAGATACAGGCAAGGGACGTTCAAACACCACACCTACCCAGAGACAAATCAAAGGGCTCTGTATTCTTCAGATCAAAGATGGAAGGAAGATGCTATAACTGTTTTCCCCAAATCACTCTACTCGGCTCTACCGCTCCCTCCCTCAGTGCTGGAAATGCTACCACTCTTGGCACAGAGCAATGGATTGCACAAGGTCTAGACAACATAAAAGGATGGTCTCCACTGAGCATCGACATCTCATCCCCTCCTAGAAACTCAGTCCACCTCCAATCCATCTAAAGTCCGATCACCGCTCCTTCACGGAGGTGGTGCGCGGCCAAGATCAAATGGCGGCAGCTCGATACCCAGGTGACCCAAGGGCCAGGCCTGCTCGCGGCTATTGCGTTGTTTCGGCTATGGGCTCCATCCATAGGCGCCATGATGAGCTCATCAGCAGGGCGGTAGTGTGCTGGATCAATGGAAGCAGCCATGACACGGAGACCTATCACCTCAGTGATGCTCTCTGCCGCAAGCTCAACCTGCACCACGACGACTTCTAGGTGCTCAAGCACTTCCCTGAGCACTACATCATCATTTTCTCCGACTCGACGGTCAGGCAACGTGTTGTGGACATGGGGATCATCCCCGACAGCGGCCACGTCCTCCACTTCACCCCATGGAGTGAGCGCCACTATGCCACCAGCGTCAGCTGGGAGTTCCGAGTCAAGGTATGCATAGATGGAGTCCTGGTCCACTGCTGGGCAGAGGAAGTTGCTGCTAAGGCGCTGGGCAAAACCTGCGTGGTGCACTACGTCGAGGAGAAGACCCACCGTTGGGAGCGCACCAGGTCATTCTACCTCTGGACTTGGTGCTGCGACCCCTGCGACATCCCCACCAAGGTTTGGCTCACGGTGACTGAGCCGGACAGGGAGCTGCCACATCACGATGACCTGGTCGACCTCAAGTGTGGGCATGTCTACCTCCTTCACAATCACATCGAGGTAGTGGAGGATCTCTCCTTCCTGTAGGGTCGTGGGAGAGTTGGCGGTCCTCCAAACCACAAATCCTGTATGGAGTTCGACTGGAGCTACGGAGCGCCAGACACTGTAGGAGAGCACATCTAGGGCAGGTGCGGCAATGACCATGGATGCAACATCAGGTGGTAACCGAGGAGGGATGATGACGACTATGACGACAGACGCAACCATGACAACCGTCGTCACTGAAGCATCTCCAACTAGGCCAGAAGTTCACGCTGTAGGGTTGGAGTGGATGACTGTGTCAGCTCCAACAGGTGGTGTGGCCAGAGGAACTCCCCTCCTCGTAGAAGCAAGTAGGCAACACAAGGTCTCCCAGGGCCATCACAAGTCTAGAGGGTCAAGGAACACAAGGTGGAAAAGAAGCACAAGAAGGTCTCCTTTGCCAACCCAATAGCAACTGAGCTGATGCCCCCAAAGATTGTCATCCACGACGACAGCATTTTGCTTATCAAGGAAACCCAAAACACTCAGGGCTAGGACAGTGTGAAAGTTGGGGGGAAGACTAATGAACAAGTTAACCCAAGTGAGCAAATCTCTGAATATACACCTTTTGAGTTTGGCATGCCATCTGCAGAGCTAGCGCCTAATGAGGTAATGCACACTGGTGCATCCCCTGACTTTGCCTATGCAGATCTGGCAACAGTTGGAGAGATGTTGGTAGGACAACACAACACACAGGTCAAGGAGGTGGCAGACATCAATGTCCACAAGGAACAGGACGTTCCATTCACCCAAGTGAGAAGGCTAACACTATAGCCAATATGCAGGATGCTATTTCAGAATCTAACACACTTCCTATCACCACTTCTTCAGGGGAGTCTGTAGGTAGATATGGAAAAACTCAACGCCACCAACGAGCAGATGCTGGGTCTGGTGCTAGGCCATCAGCGCAGCATGCTGGTGAGCTCTACTGCTGTAGACAAATCCTTACCAGTACAAGTTGATACTGAAGTAGTGAATGCTTGTTTAGATGATCAGCTTGCTGAAACCACTGAAGTCAGTCAACTGCAGCAAGATTTAGACTTAACTGTTGAAACCATAGTGCAAGGGGTGCCTACTGAAAATCATGAAACCATAGTGCAAGGGGTGCCTACTGAAAATCAACAGTTAATCAATAACATAGACAACCACTTACCTTCACCTATAGACAATTTCTTAGATTCAATCTCACTGCTCATAATGCAACCTTTATTAGACGGAGGGCCCATGACACCTATGACAAACTCCACTAGAGTAGCTGTTCCTAACCAGCATATAAATCCTACACCAAGTGCAAACAAAAGACATAGCTCTAGATTAGCACAAAAGGCAGAAGCTAATTCAGGCAAAGATGCTATCCAAATTGCACAAGATCTGCTAGTTAAGAAATTGGGGGAGCTATCAGGTCCAGTGGTACAGCAAAGTTCTGACAAATTCAACTTATATGCGTAGCACTTCGATAGGCCCATGGACAAGTCAAAGACAGAGGCCATCAAGGTTCTCATTGAAGAGGGGATCAAGCAGCGCAAGAAGGGAAACAACCGCAAGACCGCGACGGTGGCGCCAGGCTTGGTGGCCTTGGTGTCAACCCCAAGTAGTCCAAATGGTACATGTTAGCCCCTGTAGGTAAGGGGGTTTGGGCTTGTTGCCCACTGTATCTT